CCAGAGGGGAGCACATGATCTTGGCACACTGCAATCATTGTAAATACGAACCAGTTGCCAAGTGTCTGAATTTTGATCATATGGTCACAGGGACGCTCCAGTGGTCAAAAGTGTGAACAACTGTCATGAGTCACTTTCTTCAGTGCCATTCTAACTTCAAACAGTCATTAAAGAAACTGTTGTAAGTTGAGAATTGCCTATACCTAGAAGACTTGGGGGATCCAGAACAGCTAAGTCCTATACTTAGGCGAGAAAAACCAAAAGTATACATATAGACAGGGTGAAATTAGGCTTAATAGCAGTAACTGTGAGAGGGATCCTGGAGTCTTAGAGGACAACCAGCTAAATATGAGCCAGCAGTGTGCAGCAGCAGCCAAAAAAGCTAATGCAATTCTAAGTTACATTAACAGAGGGATACAATCAAGATCAAGTGAGGTACTAATATCACTCTATAAAGCCTTAGTAAGCCACACCTAGAGTACTGCATCCAATTTTGGTCACCACGCTATAAAAAAGATGTTGAGACTCTAGAAAAAGTACAGAGAAGAGCAACCAGGACGATTTGGGGACTGGAGACTAAAACATATGAAGAATGGTTACAGGAACTGGGCCTGGCTAGTCTAGTGAAGAGAAGGACCAGGGGAGACATGATAGCAGTGTTGGAACATTTGAGGGACTGCCACAGAGAGGAAGGGGCAAGCTATTTTCTAAAGATCCTGTAGGCCAGACAAGGAATAATGGATGGAAACTGAACAAGGAGAGATTTAACCTGGAAATAAAGAGAAACTTTCTGACAATGAGAACAATCCACCAATGGAACAGCTTGCCTCGGAAGTTGTGGGAGTGCCATCACTTGAGACTTTCAAGAAGAGATTGGACTGCCATCTGTCAGAAATGGTGTAGGGTCTCCTGCTTGGGCAGGGGGTTGGACTAGATGACCTACAAGGTCCCTTCCAACTCTGATTATTTGTTAGCTTATGGAGTAGTAGTGTAACATGAATGTAGTAATGCCAAATATTGCCCACACTTTTGCATTCAGCACCAACTGGAAATGTCCCATTTCCAGATCACATCACAACAGCTCCAGGACAAAATTCAGATTTAATTTGCAATTACCAATGTACATCAAGCTTCAATGACTTGGAGATCACAAATTCTTGAGCTGCCTTGGAGTCAATCCATTTTTCCAATTTTGGCATTCTAATCATTATTTATGTGTCCTTTCATATAGCAACTTCTACAATTATCTGCTAATTTTTTCACTATATTTACATACAATTCTACAGTGTTGATATTAACCAAATATCTATGAATCCTAACAGATAGATTTCTGTAGTTTATAGATTTATAGCTCACAGCAATTTCATAATTTCACATGGGTCACTAATTTTCACATTCCATTCCATGTTTTCATTTGAATCATGCCGATTTTAATATTTTTGTGTAGTTAAAAAAACAAAACACCTAACTTAATATTGGCAGGTTCAATATCTATTGGTCTGCTTATGTTATGACATCTGGATGTATTAATGAGCTTTCCTGACAATGTGCACAAGGATGCCCCTTGGATGTTAATTTTGTGAAATGTATAACCTTATCAGCCTCTTTTTGAATGTCATCTTTCCCACAATCCAGAAAATTAGACAGAGACATAACAATCTTTTCCACATTCTGGAATTGCTCTAAGACTTAAGCAAAATTCTTTTTCTGTTAATTCAAATAATGCCAAGTTGTCCAATTCTTTCTCCATCTCTCTATTTATAACTTCTGTCTTACTTTGCAAAACTTCCACTTTGTCAGTAATTTGTTTTACATTTGCAGTCAGTTGCCTTATGGATTCTTTAATCTTAACTTCTCCTTTATCCTCCTTCTGTTTCCTTTTTAACCATAGCAGTCAACTTTTTTGCCAATGTCTTCAAACATTGTCTGTAATAATTCCGATGAAATGGCCTTGTCTGCAAGTTGTTCTAGTGAACCTCTGCATCCTTCTAATTTAGCAAGTTTTCATATGGTTGCCATTGTGACAAAATGAAAGTATGTCAATTAATTTGGTGAAAGTAAAGGCAGACTCATCTTTTTTTTCTGCTTTTCTTTAACACTTTAGTCCCAAGTAGATCACATATTATCTTTATTTTCTTGTTTTTTTAAAATTTCACCTATTATCTATTATCCTTAAAAATAAACATCAGCATTCGCATAAAAGTTTGGTCTAATCTTGTTATTTTCAGAAACAATTTTGTCGAAAAAAATTGCTTTTTGAGAATCACTGTCCCCTTTATCTGTTTAAAACTGGTTTGATCCTGTTAAGCATTTTGCTTTTAATTTAAAATCCACTGTAATATCTTTCTTTTCTTTCTTAATTTCAAGAAGGAGGCGTTCACTGAAAGTCTTTGATCTTGACTGTCATTCAGAATACAAGTCCAGAGCTATCTAAGAAAGTGACGTATTTGTTGGTGAAATATCCATTAAGGCTGCACAATGGTTAAAGGCACATTGTAAATCCCCTAGTTCCTAAACTTCAATTCATAATAGAATACAAGAAGCTCAGTTTCTGTGGTCTCCTTCCAAGAATGCAAGTTGATTATCTCAAATGTCTCTCTTTGCCTCCAGAGAGACTTTTTGCTCCTGGCTGCATTTCTACCACAGTCTTGTCCTCTATTCATGGAGCTACTCACAGAGATGCCTAATCACCCATCAGTCCTCATCTGGAACCTTATTTCTTTAATAATACTGATCCCAATGCTTTTCAACCTGGGATTATATCCTTTTGACACCCAAACTTTATTTTTTATTTATTTATTTATTTTGATTTGTCAATCGCTTACAAGATAATAGGTATAAGTATATACATAGTTATGAATACATGAAATGGGTACATATAAGAAAAATAAAAGAAACAATAGGACAGGGACAGTAGGCACATTGCTGCGCTTATGCACGCCCCCTACAGACCTCTTAGGAAAGGGGTGAGGTCAATAATAGACAGTTTAAGGTTAAAATTTTGGGGGTTTGGGGAAGAAACCACAGAGTCACATAGAGTATTCCAGATATTGACCACTCTGTTGCTGAAGTCGTATTTCCTGCAATCAAGTTTGGTGCGGTTAACCTTGAGTTTGTATCTATTGTGTGCTCTTGTGTTGTTATGGTTGAAGTTGAAGTATTCATTGACAGGTAAGTCATTGCAATGTATGATTTTATATACCATACTTAGATCAGACCGAAGACGGCATAATTCAAGGTTTTCTAGTTCTAGAATTTCAAGTCTGATGGCATAAGGTATTCTACAACGAGTAGAGGAGTGGAGAACTCTTCTTGCGAAATATTTATGTTTAAACCCATATTGCTTTTGTGGCATTAATAGAGACGTGATTTGTTGTAGCCTTCTTTTAGGTTCATTGTTGGGAATTACATCTCTTAGGAAATCCTAATCTGTACAAACCTCATATGTTCCCTTCCCCATTATGGATTACTCTTAATTTCTACTCTCCTGTTTTTATTTTATCACTAGAGAAAAGCCTATGAGATGTTTCTACATCTGCCAGCAGAGTTCTTAAGGTCATGGGAGCCACTGGAGTATTTCCCAATATCTAGGTGGTCATCTTTTAGGAAGAAGAGGCAAATAGTCCAGGCTTTAAAACTATGATATAGCCAGAGATCATGTTAGGAACATTTTGCTGCAACTTTTAGAAACTCAAGGGTATTACTTTTTTTTCATTAAATGAATGAGAAAAGTTATACAAAGTGAAGATAATGGATTGAACATAATCCAAACAAAATGAAAGGCTTTCTAAAATGCTAAATTCTTGGACGTTGAAAATGAGACTAGAAGTTGGGAAAGGTTTATGACAATTACTTAATAGAAAGAAGAATGGAAGGCACAATTGTTCGTTTCTTGTCATTTTTTTCTGTGTTTCTTATTTTCTATCTTTGGTCTTGTTTATTTAATTGTATTGAAAGTTTCTAATAAAAACTTAAAATGCTAATTTCACATCTTTGTTTAAAGCCATTTTCATATTTGAACCATACTTTCATTTGAAGAATTGTGATCTTTGTGGGATGTCACTTTCCTTCTCTTTCCTAATAGCACTTTGACAGTACTAACAAAAGCTTACAATCTTTGACTGGTATTTATCATGAACTGCTTGGAAATGTAGAGATTCCAAAGCAATGGTTTTAGAATTGACATTTTCCTATTTATTTAAGCAATGCAGGTTGGTAGTGGTCGTGGAAGAGTGAAGAACGAATAGAGTCAATAGCCAGGAAAGGACAAATTAGCCTTTGAAAGGTTAAAATGAATTGACTTAAGTTACTGGTTCAATACCCCTTTCCTACTTCTAATCAACACTCACTCCAAGTAGAGTTTTTCTTCAAAAATTGTTTTTCAAACAGGAAAACTTTAAAATATGTGGTCTTTAACTCTCGAAATTCCCCAGCCAGCTGGCTTGGAAAAAATTCTAAACATAATTTCTTTGATTCAGATAATATGGAAAACTATGTTTATTCTAGTCTGGTAGGTGAAGTGTCTACATTAGGGGGAGGAGGTCAGGAATGCCTAAATCATATCAGACTCCTCTAATTGTGTTGCCTAACTGCAGCCCATCAACTTCAATAAAAGCATTGTGTGTTTTGAAGCATCCATAGCAAGGATGTGCCTTGCTGTGTTATTTTGGAAAGCCATACAGTCATTTATTTTCATCGCCCACTGTTGGAAACCTTCCTTAATCCTTCATGTTTTTCATGGAAGAGTAGAGCTCATAAAATTTTGATGTTCTTTGAAAGGAGATGTTGCTGCAACGTGAATGTAAGACATATTTATTTCATGCAGGACATCTGCTTAGATGAAGCTTGTTTTTTTTTTTAAAAAAGGTAACCTTATCTAAAGCATAGTCTCCAGCTTTGCTGGCCAGTGGAGTTTAGCTACTTTCCTGTATGTAATACATGGATATATGGTAATCTTTCATCTGGACATTAACTTTATGATTCTAATTTTTTTTCTGCAGCTTCCAGTTATGGGAGGAATATTTATGGACTCACCCAATGAGGAATTTAGCACAGAATATTCTTTGTTTAATTCATCTGCGAATGTCTACAATGCTGCCTCAGTGCCAAACCAGCCAGAAGAGACATCTCGTTCTTCAAATGATGCCATTTTGTTATGGATTGCAATTATAGCCACAATTGGGAACATTGTAGTTGTTGGAGTTGTGTATGCATTTACATTCTGAGAGATAAAGAAGAAAACTCAGGGAGACAAGAGTTCCTAAAAGCAGATGTATGAGTATGTATTATTATGTATGTATCATTATGTGTACATACCTATATAAAATGTAAATCTTTATACATATTGGTAGGTAGATGTAATTTCTTATCTAAGGTCCCAATTAACAGCAAGTGGCAAACATAATCACCAAAATACCCTTTACAAAAGAGACTTTTGTAAATTATGTGGAGATGAAACATAATTTACGTCCTAGCCAATTAAATAATGGATCTAACATGAAAGGTCAATACATATAAATGGAAAAACAGATTTTTTTCATCAAAAAAAATTAAACATTGGATACATCTTTTTTCTGATATTTTTTGTGTGTAAGCCCCCAGTTGTTACGTTCTGTAGCAGTGTAATTGTATTGCTCTCTAAAAACACAGAGCAAATGAAATTTCAATTTATTTTGAAGTCTGCTAGGGAAAAATGGTCAGGGTATTTCCTCTTAAGTAGTGCAGAGCCTCACAATTGAAATCTACATTATTCACAGAAATTTCACAGATGTAGGCCAAATTTAATTTTTCAAAGCTTTCTCTGTGGGAGAAAAAAAATTGTGAGGAGTCCTAAAAGTATCCGCATGTCTGAGTTTGAAAACAGTCCTAGGAGTTAGAAGTCCTCATTTTGGGGGAGGCATGGATTAAGAATCTTTTCTTTCAAGAGTGTTATAGTTTTTAAATGGTTGGAAACCAAACTACTGAATTTGAACTATCCATTTGGAATAGGCTTGGAGGGCTTGAAAAAAGAAATTTGGAGTTAACCAATTGCAACTCCAAAGTTATCTTACCTCGAGCTTATGGTGCAAATTAGGGTGCACCAATCTTTCTTAAGACTAAGAACCTTATTGGAAGTATTCTAAAACTGTATGCTATAAAATCTGTTCTCCTTTTGCCAATTTTATGGAGATGAATTTTAAAATAGATATTTTGATCTTTTTAAGAAACTTTTTAATCAAACATATTTATGTGTAATTTTTGGTTTCCTTTATAACATAATGGATCTTTTTTGGTCATCTAATATATTTATATTCTGTTTTTTCTCCAGAAATTTAAGGAAACTCCTTTTCCAAGTTTTTACTACAACCACAGCCCTGAGAAATAAGTTAACTGAGAACTTTTAACTGGGGTGCTAAGAATGATTAGCTTAAGGTTATCTGATAAGTTGCTATTGAAGAAGGACTTGAATTTGATTCTAATCCAATATCTAAACCATCATATGACATTAGCTGTCATCATATGATGTGAGATACCAAACTTTTCTTCTTTGCCTTCATATTATCCCATACAAATAGTCATTGTCCATTAAAATTGTGTAAAAGAGTTCAAAAAATGCTTTGTGATGTTCATTGATGCCTCCTTAAAGTGATGGGGCAAACAACTTCTGTGAAAGTCTTGATCTAATTGTTTCAAAGTTTTTCTTTTTACGAATTATTTCAGCAAGCACATTCTGGTAGCCATTAATGAGAACATTCATGAACTCTGCTTTTTCTTCCGATGGGCCATTTCTTTTTTAATTGATACTGGACTAGATAGTTCTTTAAATAGAAGATGATCCTCCAAAAATAGGCTTGCAGTCATCATGATTACTCCATTTTTTCCAGGGATTTCAACATCTGGATATTTTTGCATGCAAAATGAATTTCCCCAATTTCTTCACTTCACTTCACTTTTAAATGAAGAGTAAACTTAATTTTACATTCCCTAATGATTTCAAGAACATTTCCATCTTCATGATTACATGAACTAGATAACCATGCCCTTTCTAGTAGCTCTATAAAATGTCTACAGTTCTACCATATCTTACAATGCAGGCCTAATGACCAAATGACCACGGGGATGCTGGAATGATCATAAGTGTGAAAAATAGTCATAAGTCACTTTTTTCAGTGCAATTGTAACCTCAGACAGTCACTAAATGAATGGTTATAACTTGAGAACTATCTGTACTTTCTTTTTCTCTTTCAAAGTTTGAAATATCCTCTGTGGATAAAGAAAAGACTAGAATTTTTAACTAGAAGACTAACATAGAATTGACAATATTTTAGAAAGGGGAATAAAAAGTAATCTTTTTTTTTTTTTTTTGAAAATTTTATTTGGGTTTTCACAAAAACAAAATACAAATACAACATCTTTTTTTGAAAATAGCATGGTCCCAGGTTATCACTTCTTCATACAGACACAAAACTCAATTACATGCTCATTTTTATATTCTATTTCATATCTTATTACTGTTTTATATTTTCTACATAGTTTTTCCCCTCTTTTAATTTTCTCAACTTTATTTTAATTATCTCATCTCAATTCAAATCATTATATTTATACTTTTGTCTGTCCTGTTTCAATTTCATATTATCTTTTCTGATTAAACAAATTTTTCCCCGTAGTTACCAATTGGAGTATGACACCTTTATATCTTTTAATTTTATCCATTCAAACTCTTATTTAAGATTCAAAGTATACCTTTAAAATTATAGCATTCAATATAATACATGACTTCCAATCGAATTCTGCTTGGTACATTCTTAAAATACACACTATATTCTTAAAAATAAAAAATTATATATATATATGTAAATAAAACACACATTCCAATTCAATTCTATCATTAATATTCATTAAAATCTTAGCATCTTTAACATTTCTTTTCAATTAAATATCATACTTCCTTGGGAACACTTATAAACTTTCCGTAGTTAATTCTTTTTTTCCCCATATTTCTCACTTATATTTTTATAAATCATTAATAATAATTAAAATGTTCCCATTTAATTCTCTCATTCACTTTAATTCATTTATTTATTAACAAACATTCCACTACATTACAGTAAATATTTTATCCATCATTTTAGTCATATTTTCTAAATGTATTTCAGTTTGTAATATAACAATGCTATCTTATGTACCTTTGCAGAAACCCTTTTACAATTAAATTTTCACCCATTATCTCTAAACAAGCTTATAGTTACAATTCTTATATCTTTTCCCTGTTTCTCTATTTCTGGTTTCTGCCTTTTACAACTTCTTTTCCTTACCTTCTTCCCCTTCTTCTTCTCCCTCCCCTTTTTACCCCCTCGTCTCTCTACTTCTAACTCTCATCTGTAATCCCCTCTTCTGTTGCTTTCTAATATTATACTTATCTTTCAAATTGTTCTTCTTCTTTTTGGTTGTTTTTTCTGGTCTTAAACCTTTCACTCTCTTTCCCCCCTTTCCTTCTCCCCCCCACTTAAAATTATTTGATCATTAAAGATGGCTTCTTCTTTATCCCAATCTTGTTCTGCAAGCGTTTCTTGTTGTTTCTCATAGTTCCAGATCTCAATTTCTAAGAATTGAAATACGAAGCCAAAAGAACCTCTCCCTTCTTGTACATCTTCTTTCCATTTTTTAAGTTCCATTTTCAGTTCTTCTAAGAGTGATATCATTTTGAAGACTTTTAAACAACCACCCGGTTAATTTTAGTCATCTAGATGCAAAAACCAAAAATCACCAAATAATCCAAGGCTGTTTCTTCTTGCTTCTTTTTTCCACTTTCTCTTCCTGGGGGTCTATTATTTTGTTGTCAAGTTTCAGTTAAAATGTATCTTTGAGGAATCTTGTTAAAATTTCACTGTAGGTTCCTTTTAGTTATAGTTCCATTCCTTAGTTCCAGGCAGTCTCCTCCATTTTACCAGATCCTGCCCTTTTATTCTTTTTTTTTCTCCTTTCCTGCTTTTAAAAACTTTTAAATATCCAGAAATCTTTATTATCCCTTTGACTTTTATTTTCAGCTTAGATGCCTATTAATGTCAAAGTGGATTTTTTTTTTCAATTTCTTGCTTAAGTCTCTTGGCTGTCAGTATAAGGAAGGGAAGAAAAAAAAACCTAATCCTTTCCCTTCTCTCTCTCCTTCGCAGCTTCAAAATCTTCTTTGGGAACAATGTTATTTAATTTAAATTCCAGGGTACCTTACGTTGTTGCTTTTTCGGTTTATCCCGGTCGACCGGGTTAATTTCTCTTCTTATCTTCCTCCTGCACATTCTTTTCCGGTTCAGTTCTTCTTTGAGGTGGCCATTTCTGACCACCGCTGCAACCGCCTTCGGGAAAGGGTGTAATGGCCAGTTGGGGAAGAGAGATGCGGCTCTCCTCGACCCTGCTGGCAGTCTCCCCCTTCTTCACCACCTCTACGGGGTGGCTTAGCCCCAAAACCAGCCGGCTCGGGGCGCTCTGGCGGTGAGCAAAGATCGAAACCGCGCACGATCGTAGATTTCGGTCTCTTGCCGAAGAGACTCAAACCGGAAGCCGGGAATAAAAAGTAATCTTGTGGAACATAGCAATAGCACTTAGACTTATATACCACTTTATAGTGCTTTACAGTCCTCTCAAAGCAGTTTACAGAGTCAGCATATTGCCCCCAATAATTTGGGTCCTCATTTTACCCACCTCGGAAGGATGGAAAGCTGAGTCAACCGGTGAGATTTGATCTGCCAAATCACAGACAACCAGCAGTCAGCAGCCTGCAGTACTGCACTCTAACCATGGCTCATAAACATGTGCAATTATCCTGGAAAACAAGATTCCATCTCCACATGGTCTCATGAATTGCTGGTTCTCGTTATTCTGTGAATGCTAGTTGCTCCTCCAAAAATGTTTGAATCCAAGATATTTGTGGAAGAGAGTAGAAACTTTCTTACCTTTTTTGTTCCTGACCACCCAGGTTCTTCCAAAGCATTGCACTTTGAGAGTCATCAGTTGAGCTAGATTGGGTGAATTGAGGCAGAGGAGGAAATATGTATATCCAGGAAGTTTCCTGATTTAAAAAATGAAAGTTTGACAAGACTTTTTTCTTGAAAAATCCAAGCTGACCTGGTAATTACCACAGGTCAGGGTTTTTTAATAAATATATAATTGTTCATAATTCTATAGTACATAATAGAAAGATGACAGCATATTAGAAATAACTATTTGTAATGTACTTTACTGTGAGGAAACCAGA